TCGTATTTTCTCTGTGTTCATTGTTCTCCTTCTTGTCCTTCTACCCCTCTAATCACGAGGCTTTTTCCTTTCATTTGTCCGTCTATTAATAATCAATAGTATGTTTTGCTGTTCTTCAAATTTCAAACCAAGAAAGAAAAAACAAAGAAAAGTAAAAGGAGATTTACTTCTTCAAGCCACCCGTTCATTTTTTTTGTTGTTCTGTAACTCGAAATATCCTCAAGTTACTTTAAATTTGAGATTAATCCCTGTCAAGTTAAGAGTATTAGAATTAAAGCCTTCACAATAAATGTGCTTCACAGAATTCGAATTTGTGTGTTCCTCCTTACGCAAATGAAACCGCTTATCATCTCAACTAACAACTTGCTAGTGATTAACATGCTTGTTAATTGTTGCATATTGGAAATAAATCATTCAAGCTTGGCAAAGGAATCTAGGTTTTGGGGGAGACTTGCTAGTTGTCTTTAACTTGTTATAAATTGTAACAATGAGCAAAGGAAAGTAATATTGGTGGTGTATATAACTTTTAAGTTTGGTTGGTTAAGTTGTTATACATATATTCTTATGAAGATAAATAGTCACTATAAGAGAAGATTATTTAGATAAAGTTGCTTAAAATCATTACGTCATGTTTTCTAATCACATGTGACATTTTTTTCCCATGTGAAATTAGCATTAAATGATTATATGAAAAAAGTTTAGGAAAAAAAAAAAAGAACACATGACAAAGTACGGTGGAGAACTTGATATTATAATTGTAGGAAAATTAACCTAAGTGTTTTTAACAATTGAAAAAAAAAAAAATTGGGCACATCGGCATACTAGACTTGTGAGCTGCATAACAAATGACTACATAAAATTAAAAAGGGGTCCCGCAAAGGGAAGTTCACAAAAAAGAAAAAGTGGCATTGTCAATTTAAGAATCTCATTGTAAAGGGAAGTTCATAAAAAAGAAAAAGTAGCATTATCAATTTAAAAATCATATTTTTCATTGCATTATATTGGTCCAGAAACCCCATGAAATAAGTTAACTGATTGGAAGTTTGACTTGTGAGAAGACATTAATATCATAGTTCATTCCAAACCAAATGAATCTCTTTATATATATATATATATATATATATATATAAATATATATATATATAATAAAATAAAATGACTGAACACACAACTCCTTTTTCTTTAAGGTATACAAGAAAAATGAAAAGAAGGGATGCAGAAAAAAATAGTTTTGGTGAGTTTAATTTAAAAAATTGATGAAATAGGATTAAAAGTTTTTAATTAAGTTTTATTACTATTTTATTTTACATTTTTTTATCAAAATGTTGTAATCCGACCTTTTCAATTTTATAAATTAAACTCATGAAAATTTTCCTCCCCTCTCCTCTCTATTTCCCTCATATCAAATAGAGGGTAAAACATAATTGTCATGAATTCACCTCTAAAATAATAAAATAATAAATAAAATAAAATTAATCTGGCATTATCTCACAGGCAGACAAAAATGAAATACTCCTCCGATCGTTGAGGTGGAAATTAATTTGAAATTTAATATTAATCATATATGTAAGACCTATTTTACATGATTGTCAGTTTTTTTTAAAATTAATCCTATTGATATTTGCTCAACAATAATCGAGTAGGAAAGGAAATGAGTGAATTAAAAAAAATAATTATGATGTTTTAAAAAAATCATATTAACTAATTTAACTTATATTCTTAATCTATAAAAATTAATTAATTAGCTCGAGTATGATAAACAAAGAGGTCCCGTCGGTCAGGAATGGTTGGCTACAAAAGAGATCAATTGTTGAATGGGAACAAAATACTGTAGGCCCATGCATAATCGTGACTTGACCTTCCCATTTTTCTAAAGATGGCTCAAATTTTCCACATGGATTTGGCCTCATTCAGAAAAATCTTGATAATACGGTTGGTACGACTGTAAATAAAAATATTCATCAATCATCAATAAGTCCTCCAGAGTATTTAAGGGATTCATAGCTAGTGAATGCTTGGGATTGCTTCTTTTTTGATGTAGCATAATTAAAATTATTTAACTTTTTGTTTGTGAAAAATGCCACTTATTTAAAGTATGATTGTGTTGTTACGCTTTGATTAAGAATCTTATTAGAGAGAAGTGAAACAAAGAAAGCAATTGAATATTAAAAATGTGGTTGGCTAAAATGTTGTATCATTCTGCGATGAAGTTGAATTTTTGGCCCAAAAAACAGAAAGACGAAGTTAACTTTAATTTTTTGTTTTTATTAAATTTTTTTTGAGCAAAATTTGTTTTTATTAAATTGAAATCCTCTGTTTTCAAGTGAAAGCAGCGTGGAAGTCTGAGCCTACAGATCTCTCTACTTTTATCATGCAAGATAGCTTATGAAAGCAGTTAATGAAGGAGCAATATTCAAAAGCTGATATATAGCAATTCATGTCTGAGAACACATATATAGTCCTTTGCAATTTAGAGCAGAATTGCAATTGGAAATCTGAAAAATAACAGAGTTCGTCGGAAAAGAATTAGATTCAAGTCATGGACCCAACTCATACACATTAAGAAAAACATTATAAATAACATTTTTTGGAAGAATACACTAACACTAATTGGAATAATTAAGTACGTTACTCTTTAACAGAGGAAGTGGTTCTATAAGGCGTGAACTGAATATGCATTTTAATTGAAGAAATTTTCTTGCAAGAAGGACTTGAAGACATTATTGTCAATGGTTTGTCGCATGTAGAAAAGAATCCCAAAGAAAGAACAAAGAGCTCAGCACTCAGCAGCGCCTGACAATTTCTATCCAATTAATTGTCAAATTGACAAATGGTAGCATTGTGCCACCTTTACTTTTGCTATGCCTAATTCATCTTGAAAATAAGTTTAAATACGTAATTACTTGGATTTAGATTCAATTTGTCTTAAAAGTTGCGTAGGAATTGTTGGTGTCTGGAAATTTTTTACTATCAATATTGCTCAAAAAATATTAAAAAAGAGCAAATATTGTACTATGTTCCTGTTTGGGATAGCAGTAAAAAACATTCATAAGCACGTTTCATATAAGTCGAGACAAAACTCCTCTCACATACTTATCTCGTATTTTGTAAATTAAGATTGTAAAGCTACTTATAAGCTGTTCCAAACAAGGCTTATAATTGTTGAAAAACTAACATTAAGCCAATATTGATTGTTAATATTTTTAGTGATGTGGGGAACATTGCTCCTTTTCTAAGACTCATATTTATTTCTCATATCTATTTAAATTATAATACATTTTTATTCATTTATTTTTTTGAATTATTAAATATTTTTAATAATATCATTACTCTATAAGGTTAAAATGTATTTTTTTTTGTTTAGTAATATTATATTCTTTTGTTAAGGTGATATGCTAAAATTGCACAATTTTTTAACCTATTTTCATCCGACTAACCGTAAAATTTTTCATCAATTTATTTTTCATTTTGGTACTTACCAAACAGGCTTTTGACCAGAAATTTTCCATTTCCTTCTTTTTCATTCTTGTCCATTCCAGCCGATTTTTCCTATCAATCAGACACTTAAAAAAGTTCTTCAACATACTTGTTCTTGTCTTGTTAGATTTAATAAGTATTTATTTGGCAAACTCCCATAATCATAATCAGTAAAAAGGGAAGGGGATAAAAGCTTCAAGGACTCCTCATATACTTACAAAATTGTACATGTGAGATGTAGATAAGTGATACTTTCATATTGGCGTAGATCTTGAAGAACATGGGATCTACGGCTTCACATGAGCGCAGAGCTCTAACATCTTGTTCCATCCTTTTCATGGCCTTCTTTTGCATGTACCCGTAAATATGTCTTTATTTTTATCGTTTCTCTTGAATAGGTCTCACATCCACCCACGTCCACGCAAATATTGGGTCCAACTCAGATCAATTCAGGATAAGTATTTTGAGCAGCTATCCCCTCTTTGTTCACCAAATCACCACAGCTTCTGCAGTTTGGATTCCTCTCACCAATTTGTGTGTTCATTCCATTTGGGTTGTGGATCATCATCATCAGTCCAACTAGTTTCTGTTGTTGTCGATCTTCTTCGACAATCTTCTTGTTTGTGTTTGGATCCTTCCTTTTGATCCTTTCTTTCTTGTTCTTCATCTTCGACGGTCTGTTTCCTCTGCTTCTCTGTTTTTAGGTCCTTTCTTCTTCTTCTTTGTTCTAAAATCAAAAAAGAAAGGGAAAAAAAAAAGAAAAATTGTGTGCTCTTCATTTCAGTTCTTTTTCTTTGTATCTTTAAAAAAGAAAAGAAAAAAAAATTGTCTTTGATCTTCTTCGACGATCTTTTGTTTGTATTTGGATCCTTCCTTTTGATCGTTTCTCTCTTGTGCTTCTTCTTTAACACTTTGTCTGCCCTCCTCCTCTGTACTTCGATCCTCTCCTTTCGCTTTCATCTCTACTTCCATCGATCATTCTTCATCTTCTTGTTCTTCTTCTTCTGTGTTAAAAAAAAAAAAAAAAGAAGAAAACCAAAGAAAATTGTGGGCTGTTCTTTGCAGTTCTCTTTTTTTATTTGTTTTCCTTGAAAGCAAAAATGTGTTATACTTGAATTATGTTCCTGTTTTAATTTTTCTCGCCAGTCACCGTAGCCTCTGCTGTTCTTCTGCTTCTGGTTTTTTTTAACCCAAAAAAAAAAAACTTGCCGTGGGTACCTATCCATCTGCGTCGCTGTTTTTCTTTCTCTTCATTTAGTGTTTAAAAGAGAAAAGAAAAACAGAAGACATTGGCATAAAAAAAATTGTGTGCTCTTCTTTTCAGTTCTTTTTATTTGTTTTTCTTTAAAAAAAAAGGAAAAAAAAATTGTGTGTTCCACTCGAATTCCTGTTTTTGATTTTTTCCCCCTATCCAGCTACTGTAGTTTCTGCTGTTCTTCTGGTTCTGGTTTCCCAAAAAAAAAAAAAAAGAAACGAATCAGCAGGGTATCTGTCCATCAATCGTTGCTGTTCTTTTTCTTCATTTATTGTTAAAAAAGTGGCAAAAGAGGGATATCCAATTCCATCAAAAGCATCGTGGAAGCGGAGAGCCGTTGAAACCTGAGGATATATAAGAGGTAAGTATTTGTACTCTCCACTTTGAAATTTGGACATGATTATATCCAATTTTCACGTGATTATTTTTATTTTAACTTTTCATGTCATGACAGCATTGGTTATTTCTTTAATTTGTCTCAACATTTTAATCAATATGTTGTTTTTTTCATTAGAGTCAAAGCAAGAAGAAAAAGAAAGACGAGCCCTCTCCGATCAAAGGGCTAGAAATACTTGCACAAGAGGTAGGTGTACAATTCCATAACAGTGATATTATGACTTTATGAGCTCTCCAACAGTGTATTGTGCTCAATTACTTAAATATGAGTATTAAAAAAATTACTTAAATTAATTATTTATAATATATTTATTAATTATGTGCATTGAAATAATTTTTGTAATTACTATACAGATTAATTTAGAACAAAATAAATAAATATAATAGACAAAATAAATTGAGGTCTTATATTTAAAAACTAAATTAAATATCTAATTAAACCTTATATTAATGATTGGAGGTAATAAATTGGTAATAAAATTTAGTGGCCAAATTTTATTTTATCACTAATTTTATGATTAAAATTATTGATAGGATTATTCTGTTACAAAAAATCGGTCCATAATTTATCACTAATTCTATCACAAAATATTTAGTGACCGAAATTAGTGATATGTAGAAGCCCATTGCTAACTTTAAAAATGACCAATTCCTATTTTGTAACCAATTTATTGAAGTAACATTTACATCACTATTCCATCTCTAATTGTTATCGCTAAAAATTTTAAAAAAAAATTCTTGTGACCAAGGAAAATCACTGCTAAAGTGCATTAACTATCCCTCTGTTTTATGTAGATTATAGAAATGTCTCTTTTATGTTTTAAAATTGTACATAAGTATCCCTTGAAATTAAAATATACGTTACACAATTTTTTTTATATTTGAAATTCTATTTATATCCATCTAAACATTAGTTGACTGTTAAATTTGGCTCTTAAAAGTTTATTTTGACAAAAATACCCCTGTTTAATATAAAAATTATTTAAACATTTATACTGGTGAAAAAAATAATTTTAATTCACATATTTTCAAACTCTCAAATATGGTATAAAATTAATTAAATTTGATTATATTATAAAAGTTTATAATTTTAATTTTTCATCAGACTTATTGAAGCATATTTATTTATCTTTCTTTTAAATGGTTAAAAATATTTCAAACACATATTTGTTCATCATATAGTACAAATGGTACAAGTTCAAGAAATTACATAAATCATTAAATTTATAATTGAAAAATTTTAAATAAATTTTTTGTTACAAACATTTATAAATATATTTAGTCAATTATATATTTTTTAAAAAATTAAAAATAAAATTCAGGAAAATCAAATTATTTGCAATGATGGCTTATGATGAACCAAGCAGATTTATGGTTTTTGAGTCCTCCAATTTTTTATTTGTGGTCTTTAACAATAAGCTCTGATGTTTGCAAACTTAATAAATTTATTAACTAAAGTAGATGTTTATATTACTAGGTACTTCAATTTAAACATACTATAAACTCACAAAAGAAAAACAAATATATATATATATATATATTCTCTTTACCAAGCCACTTTCTCCAGAGTATCTTTCCATGGTGTCCTTTATGCGTGGGAATAGGTTTTTTAGTCGAGTTGGAAGAAAGAGGAGGTTTGATGATCATCGAGTATAGCTGCTTCTTAGGGCATTGATATGGAGGATTCGAATGGTTAATATTATCATGTCTGAAGAGGTTTCTACATAGTCTACTCGATCATCTCTGGCTTTGCTTTCTTCTTCCATTTACACATTACTGTTGACGGTCTTCCATTTCTCTCCTTGTCTCATAATAAGGTTGGTTCATTCTCCATACTTCTTGTTAGGAAAGGTGGTTATCGTGGTTCCTAGTCCTTGCTTCTCGTAGGTTCTGAAGGCTTCTCAGTAGGTGCGAGCGCTGCATGTCTCTGTATTGGGCTGCTGGGCTTCAATAATCAATGGGCCTTTTCTTCTCTTTTTTTTTCCCCCCTTACCATTTCAACCAATACCGGCTTGGCGTTTTTTATTCCCTAGTGTCTTGCAATAGTTGTGAAATGCTATGTCGCTTAACACTCCATATGCAACTTGGGTCATATGTTTCAGTAGAAGTAACTTTCTAATTAAAAAGACAACGGGGTACAAGTTAAGCCACCCTCGCTATCCTTACACACCGCGATGGGCCCATGGCCAAATTCAATCATTTCTTATGGAAGTGAATTTCATGAGGAAGTGAGATCCACACGACCGGACACACCAAAATATGAATTCCACCTCCCTCCCTCCAATTCCTTCCCACCAAATGAGGCATTAAGAAACCCCTAATGTGTAGCTCAATTTTAGTTGAGAGTTAATTCCTCTCAAGATAAGTAACTAACAAGTCACAAACCCAGATCGCCAATCACCAAAAAGTCATTGAGGCAATTGCACAAACACCTTACAAACAATCTTATAACAACCATAAGCAATTGAAAAAGAAGAATTCAATTTCATCACATAACTATCGAGTGAATCACAATCAAAATGAGTTTAAAAATCTTGAATCACAAATGTCTCAATTGAAGCAACTCTTTCTCAGTTACAATTACAAACTCACACCGGAATTCAGATAACTACAACTAGAGAAGACGAGATCAAGAGTAGAAAAAACAACTCCCCTATGAAGAACATAGGTCAAGCATAGTCACACCACTCCGAGGGTTTAATGGTTCAGCCACGCATCACGGATTCTTCAGCTCCAACAAGCTTCTTCAAACACGCCATGGCTGATACAAGAGAGAAGAATTCGAACTGCAATGATGGTGAGGGAGAAGGATGGTGTGTGAGTTGAGTGGAGAAGGAGAATAATGATCGGTGTAGAATTGGAAGTAGATGGAGAATTGGTGGACGAATGATGCGGCTGGATGGAAGAGGTGAAGAACACGGTTGGGAGAATATGAGAGTTAAAAGAAAACGAAGGGGCGTGACTGAATGACCATATGTTATATCCCGATCTTTTTTCTCTTTCTGGACTGAACATCCCGAGCTGAAGTTGGGAGTGAATTAATTAATAGAAGTTAAGAGTGTGTTTGGGATTTGCAATTGAGATAGGTCACCTAAGGATTGAGATTAGATCTCAACCTAAACCTCCAAACAAGGCCACTTGCTAAATAAGTCTCCTTTCCCCGTTTTTCCTTATGGATAAAATACACAAACCACTCTTCTATTTTATTTAAGTCACATAATTCTTTTATTATGAAAACATATATGAATCTTCATTGAAATTAAAAGATGTAAGGTGCACACACCCTATTTATATATTTACAACTTTATTTCCATTCATTCAATAGTAAGTTTAACTCTCAAACATTTATTTTGATCAAAATACCCCCTTAGTATAAAAATTATTTAAACATTTATACCTGTTAAAAAATAATTTTTATACATCAGAAAAATAATTTTCTTTCATATATTATCAAATGTATTAACATGTTATAAAATTTATTAATTTTGACTATGTTATAAAGTTTTATCATTTTAATTTTTCATCACTTATTTATTTAAAGTTTTTTAAATGACTGACAAAAATATTTCTCCCGCTAAAAAATATTTATTTAAATTTTTTCTTTTTTTATGTTTCGTCGTTTTATGCTTTAATTAATAAAGTTCTCCTTTATTATACACACACATATATATTTTCTTATATTTATTTTTATGTTTTTAATTTTCCTCACATTTTTGTTTCAAATTTATATTGACTTCAGATTTTACCCGATTTTTCTCTTTAGTTTCGGTTCCCTCCTTTACCCGATATATATATATATATATATATATATATATATATATGCGTGTGTGTGTGTATACTTGTGTGTGTGTGTGTGTGTGTGATTTTCACTTCTTCCCTGTCATGTACTTCACTTTTTGGCTTGTTAATTGATTGATGATTCAATGATATTTTGCGTTTCCAGCTTGTGTCTTAACAAATCCCAACAAAACACTTTTAATCATATAATTAATTATAATAGCACCCCCTTTATTATTCGCCACGCTAGTTCTTTTCTGCTTCTGCTTTCTGTAATTTCTGTGCTCTTCCTCTGTTTTTGCTTTCATTTTTCTCTTCAATCACTAAAACCTTTTGATGTTTTTGTGTTCTTCCAGAAAAAAAAGAAGAAGAAGATTTAGAGTCTTGTCTTCTGTTTCAAAGTTTGCCTATTGAAGGAGCCTGTATTTTTTAAACTTTGTTTTGTGTTAATTTGAATTATTTTCTACTTTAATTTTGGTTGATCATCGTTATCGTTGTTTATAGAAAACCCAAAAAAAGTTTGCGTTTATATTTTCTTTTCTCCTTAATCATTGTTCTCGTAGTTCCCTTATCTTAAAAAATAAAAAATAAAAAACAAAAAAACAAAACAAAAAGAGGCCTTTATATCGAAGGCATCTTTTGAGAGGTGAGTATTTGTACTCCACTATAATTATGAATTATATTTATATCTTTTTTTTAATACATGTATATATGTGCGTGCGTAACACACATATTGTCTCTTAAACTTTCTTTGACTTATTTTTATTTTTCAGATCTTAGTTGGTCACCTGAAGCCTGCTTGACAATTTTGGATTCCTGTTAAGTTCCAGGTTAGTATGTGTACAGTTTTAATTGTAGTATTATTTATAAAAAATTTTACAGCTTTCTTAAACTACCAACTCAGGTGCGGGTTATGTATGCTAAATAATTGATCTCCTAAACATCTTCAGTTTTATTTATCAAATCCTGATTGGTTACATGAAACTTACAGATTTGTGATTTTTGTTGTCATTTTAGACCAAAATAGAAAGGAATTTTGGGGGGGGGGGGAGGAAGATTGCCATTACCTGTTTTTTTAATAGCTTATTTACTTTAATTATAAGTTAGGGAAGGCTTTTGTGCTTGAGTATATTCAAATAAAGTCTTAAATTAGGTTTATTATCCGTAATACTGCATCTCTCTATAGTTTTACTACACCGGTGATTATCTTCAAATAAGGCTAATTCAATTTCAGTGCTGCTTACCGTTTGGACCATCAAAATAAATATGGTCCATGTTTAATATATATTATTGTAACTATTTTTTATTTTAATAAATGTATGATTTTAAATTAAATAATCTTTTAATCCTCGTTTTGTTAAAAAATCAATTTATTGTTTGAAAATTTAACTTTAAATATATGAAGTTAACTTGGAAATATTAAATTATTGTTATTTTTATATAAATTTACATGTAAATTTAAGAAGTTAAATTTTGCTTGTAAATGTGCTATGTTTCAATTTTGTAAATTATAAACTTACTATTTTATTAAAAATATTTTTGACCGTACAGCGGTTGTTGGTGGTTGGTCAACGCAATTTTTTTTTTTATTAAACCATTGTCACCGGAAGTTAAAGCCAAGGGATATGTGCGACATTTTACATCAAGTTTCAAGAAATTTGAAAATATCTTGTTTATTATTTGTTGGGTTCAAATTTTTTTTTCCTGCCTATCGTTGTTCTCATAGACTCATAATTGCTCTTCTCGGGAAAAAAAATAAAATAAAAGGCTTTTACAGCAAAACAATTCAAGCGGTAACGCACATAGAAATCTTTGAGAGGTAAGAATTTGTATTCCATGGTACTTATGAATTATGTTTGCATCTTCTTCTATAAACGTATACAAACATACATGTGCATATGCATTGTCTCTTAAACTTTCTTTAACTTATTTTTATTTATTAGATCTTAGTTGGTCACTTGAAGCGTATGGTCAAAAAAAAAAATAATTAAAGATTTTGTAGGATGAGGGGTAAACTAGTAAAATAAGATTTATTTTAACGTATTTTTTAATTTAAAATATACTTTTAGAATATTTTAAAATATTCTTTGATAGTATCAATAGTCAGGACTAAATATAAAATGTGAAAGTATATTTTTAATCATTTAACTTTATACAATGTTTCAATTTGAAACTTTCAAAAGTATATTTTTGCTTATTGAATCCTAGATCCATTAATAAAAAAAAGGATAATATTGAGATTTTAAATGTTGATAAAATATTATTAGATGTTAACATATTAAATTTAATTTAAAACAATCACGATTATTACAAAAATTTATCATTTAAAATTAATAATTTTAGAATTAAATGACTAAAAATACACTTTAACCAATATAAAAATAAAAAGGGGTGCATGTGTGATTAAGGTGAAATAAAAGGATAGTTAGGATATTTTACTTAAAATAAAAAATGTGTTTTACTAACTAATAAATCATCTTCTTAGATCTACAAATCATCTTCTTAAACTTACAAGCGGACGTAATTATAAGTGCTTTTTGACTTATTAAGTTATAAACTTTGAAGTTTGGTTTATAAATTTATAGGAACAACTCATGAACTTCAGAAGTTGAACGGCAAATCGATTTGTAAAAGAATCAATAAAAACATCATGTAAATTTACTTATAAATCTATTAGCTTGGGTGTTAAATATTAAATTATCAGTATAAATTAAGTATTTCAATAAAAATATTTTAAGGAAATTTTTGACTAGTCAAAAGTTGCCAGGAGTCAATCAACACCCATCAGTCAAAGGCAAAGGACACATATGACATTTTGTAAGTGAAATTAATTACAATGAACTCACAAGGAACTCTTAAAAATATTTATTTAACAAATTCGTTGGCACTTGCTTGTAAATAAATCCCTTATTTGAGACACATAATCCTAGTTAAGGAGATCAAAATAAAAGAAATAAAAAAAATATATAGGAGAAAAGGAGAAAGAAACAAAAAAACGCACTCGAAGAGTAAGAACATTCTTATAGGTTCTTTAACTAAGTGTGCATAATATTCATGTTGATGTAGACTTTCCTAAGAATTTAAAAGCAGACCAATCATATTGTGAACTCATTACACGCATCACCACTAAAAAAATTATTGTTCTTGTATGCTATCTAGAATATGGTAGGTGTAGTTGAAACACTTATAATAGTAGTGTAGTCAACAGTCCCTAATTGCATCGCATATCCGTGCATGTTAGATGGCGACAATAGGAGAGGGCGTGGCCACCCATGTCGCGGAATCATCGGTAGATAAAGCAATGAAGGAACTCAAATACTTGTGTCGTTACAAGACCTATGTCGATGACTTCGAAGAGGAGAAGAAAAGTTTGAGTGCAAGAAGAAACACGGTGCTCAAGAATATTGAAGAAGCCAACCACAGAAATGAAAATCAGGTTGAAGATGAAGTTGAACTGTGGTTAGAAAGAGCCAATGGTCTCATAGGAGAAGATACAAAAGGAAAGAAGAAATGGTTGGTTTGGTCACTAACTGCTTTTGGCAGTACAAGCGAGGGAAGGAGCTGGAAGGGAAGACACAAACGATTAAACAGCTACTGTTGAAACAGAGTGACTTCTCTCGTGTTGCTCGTTCAACTGGGCTTCCAGGCATCGAGTTCTATTCTTCTCCAAATTTTATGACTTTCGAGGATAGAAAGTTGATCTCTGAGGAGCTGAAGGAGAAGTTGAAGGAGGCATTGAAAGATGACAATAGGTTTACGATTGGATTGTATGGGCTAGGCGGAACAGGGAAAACCACAATGGCAATAGAAGTAGGTAAAGATGTTGAGAAATCAAAGTTGTTTGATAAAGTCATCTTCAGTGTTGTTTCAAAGGATGCAAACTTGAAAAATATTCGGGACAACATTGCAAAACACTTTGATCCGTCTTTAACTGAAGGAATGGATGAATTAGAACAAGCACAAAAATTATGGAAAACAATAGCAGAAGGTGGAAAAAAGGTACTTATAATATTAGATGACATGTGGGAAAAGCTTACACTGCGAGATATAGGGATTCCTCTTGGCCGCCATGGCAAGGGTTGTTGTGCTGTTTTGCTGACCACACGTGATCGAAGAGTTTGTATAGATATGGACTGCAATGCGCCTAGTCAACTTGAGGTCCTGAAAGAAAAGGACGCGGTTGATCTTTTCCTATCTTATGCTGGCATGAGAATAGATGGTACTTCCACTGATTTTAAGGATGTGGCTAGAGATATTGTGAAGGAGTGTGGAAGTTTACCAATTGTAATTGTAGCAGTGGCAAGTGCACTAAAGTCTAGGCCTTTACCAGAATGGCGGGATAGTTTGAAAAGATTGCAGAATCATGAGGGAATTCACGATGTTAAAGAAGAGTTAAAACAGGCTTATAACTCTCTGAGATTAAGCTATGATTATCTCAAGAATGAAAAGGCCAAACAACTCTTTCTTCTCTGCTCTCTCTTCCCTGAAGATTATGAAATACCTATAGAATTTTTAACTAGAATTGCTATAGGTCTTGGGCTTTGTGAAGAAGCAGACAAATACTCTGTTGCAAGAAGTTTTTTCACTCCAATTAAAAATGTGCTCATAGATTCTTGTTTATTATTAAAGGTTGAGAATGAGTGTGTCAAAATGCACGACTTGGTTCGGGAGGTAGCTTTATGGATTGGAAACAAACAGGTTCAAGTGGGCTTTAATTCTAACTCAGCTTTAATGGAAAACATCCAATATTCATCTTGGAACATAGTTGACTTTCCGAGTCATTTTGATGGCAAAAAACTTGAGGTTCTTTTACTTTGGATAAATGATGCAAATTCTCCTAGGGTCAAAGTTCCCGATGCTCCCTTTGAAGGGATGGAGAACCTTAAGATTTTGGCTTTAATGAGTTCGTCAGATTTGGAAACTTCAGCTGCTTCCTTATTTCAATCACCTTTGTCATTGACAAATGTTCGAACTTTAGCTCTAAAGAATTTTAAGTCATTAGGAGATATATCTATTTTGGTAAATCTAAAAAACCTTGAGAGCCTTGAATTGAACAAATGTTCAATTACTGAATTGCCAAATAAAATTAAAGAACTCGAAAGATTGAGATTGTTGGAGATGGTAGACTGTTCTATTACTGAAAGAAGTAATCCTTTTGAAGTGATTGGAAATTGCTCACAGTTAGAGGAGTTGTATTATGTGTCAAATCATGTGGCCGGCTATTGCGGGCAAATCACCACACTTCCTACATTGCAAAAGTATCATATAAGGGGTTGGCATGGTTTTGATTTTTATAAAGTGGATTTTTCAGTATCTAGATATTTTGATTCACAGGACTTAAGAGTAGACTTCTCCAAGGAAATATTTAAACTCTTGGTGGCGGGAGCAGAAACTTTGATGTTAGGAGAAGATTACTACAACAGAGGATGGACAAATATTGTTCCTGACATATTATCTGTGGAAGATGACAACATGAAAGATCAATTAGCTAGGCTCTCTTTGCATTCTATGAATGAGATAAAGTGCCTAATCCATACCGAGAATCTCCGACCTTGTGTGGCTATCTTTTCCAAATTGGTTGAACTGAAGCTTAATTTTGTGGATGTGAGAGAACTATGCCATGGGCCTTATCCTGTTGACTTTTTGAAGCAACTAAAGGAGCTGCATTTATCTAGATGTGAAAAATTGGAAGGCGCATTATTTGATGGCAAGTTAGAGCTGTGTAATCTTAAGTCCATATATTTAGATGGATGTTCAATGACATGCCTTTTTCATGCATCAACAGCACAGAGTCTAAAGCAGTTGGAAACATTAGATATTATACGATGTTTGAAGTTGAAATACATAGTAGCAGAGACTATGGATGATCAGGATCCTAATCAAAAGAGTCATGACTCAATGTTGCCAAAATTGAAATATCTCATGATCCACTACTGTGCTGAATTAGAATTTATATTGCCAATATGTTTTTGCGAAGACCTTCCACTACTAGAAAGTATGTGGATTGAAGGTTGTGAGAAACTAAAATACGTATTTGGGCAATATCCAGACCACATAGATTTGCACCAAATGGGGAAAGAAGCCATCCTCCAGTTGCTAGAAGACTTGAGAATTGATGAGGTACCGAATTTCATCAACATATATGCAAAATGTTATCTCCCACGGCCTTGTTCTGATGAAGTTCAAAAGTCATCTCCAAGTGCAAAAGTAGACAGCAGTAGCAGTCTACCAAGGGGTCATCTATGTTGTTTTTGGGCAAAATCAAAAGCCTCAACTATACATCACACTTCTGCTCCCATGGACACTCAATCGAACCATAATCAGGTAATATTTGTTACTCTATTTTGTTTTAAATCTTTATTTGTAATAATGTATGAATCACCCAAATATGCTTTGCTAAACTTCTTCTTGTATATATGATGAGAATATCAATTTGTCTTAAAGTAACAAAATTAATTTTGCATTTCTCTTTTTTTTTCCATCTAATTCAGACACTATGCACAGTTGGCAAAAACCAAAAAATTCGCTCAAATATATGCTGCAAATTGCTTGCACGTTTTTTTTTGGCGCATTATATTTACACTGCTTTGGGTCTTCTTCTGTACGCTGCCCACCCGAAAATTTATCTGTTTATAAATTACTAATTGTAGAAGAACTTAATTTTGTTGGGAAAATTGGGGAAAGGACCCAAAAAAGTAATATTTACTAAAAAAGATCTGATTATAAGAAGCAAATACTAAAATATAAATTTAAAATATAATAAATTATCCCCAAGTCCCTAACAATCCTTAATTTAAACTAAAATTTTTAATAATCCTTTTCTCATCAATATTTGAAACGAAATTTATTAAAATCAGTCAAAATCATTTATATTAATCTATCTAAAATATCTTATATATCTAAACACACAATGAAGTAAAATCATTCATCTACATGAATTGTGCTATCAATAGTTAATTTTTAAGTTGCAATTGAAAGCCCTCTTTTTTTCCCCCAAATATCTCTTTCTTGACTTATTTTTTATAAATCGTTTTACCATATTTTTTATATATATTTAATTTAAATAGATATATTTTAATTAATTTCAATAAATAGAATTAGAACTTTTATAAATATTTTTACCAATTTCAATTTTTGAAAATAGAAAATAATTAATTAAATAACATTATTAATATTTATTTTTATCTAAAATTTTCCATTCCCTTAATTTTAAAAAGGAGAATCCCAAAGAATTACCTTTGAATTTTAAAATTCTAAATCGGTCATGTTTACTACACTTTAATAGCAATTGATAACATTGGAGAAGTAAATGAAAACATTTTTGTAGTCATTTTTTATTTGAGATTTTGAAATTTTAGAGATATTTTTTAGAATTTTTTCATCTTTAAATGTTTTTTATTCCATTTACTTTAATACAAACATATCAGGTCGAGAAAAAACAAAACAAAAAGATTATGAAAATTGATAACAAATAAGAAATAGTGCGCAGATAAAAATTATAGCTATGAAAAACTTTGAGTAATGTTTGATCAATGTGAGTTCTACATTATTTTTATGCCACCATATATCTCCCTCAAAAATCATATGAAGCCAACTTACGGAGCTCATTTTTTCTTCTGATTCGTTGATTTATGTTGAAAGTGATACAATTTTACTTTTAATCCAATATTGTTAAAATATGAAATTTGTTGTTATGTATTATAGGAGTTGATCCCTAAAACACGGAGGGAGCGCATGTGAGATAGGGTTAGAGAAAACTTAAGAATTTAGTTAGGAATAGTTTATTATTTTTGAAATTACAGTTTTATATTTGATCCTTATAAATAATTACAAATTTTAATATCTCTTCAATAAATATTATTTTGTGTAGGTTGTTCTCTTTAATTTTCCCCAATTTGTTTATATATAGTAGATCTTTCTTGTAATATCAGAAAAGTTTGAACATTAAGCCCGTACCATAACTTGTACCTTTCGTTTTCAATTGATGAAAGACGAAGAATCCTCACATGTTTGTATGGAATACAGGGATTAAAGGTGAAATATGTTGTCAACAGAGCTCATGGTTTTTTCACGCCACCATTATACCCATATAGAAGTTTGAGAGGGATAAGGATAAGTGGATTTTCTGAGTTAAAGTCACTCTTTACGCCATCCATTGTCTCATCATTGAAATTGCTGGAATGGTTGGCAGTTGGATATTGCGATGCACTAGAGCACATAGTAACAGATGAGGGGCATGGTCATGATCGTGGGAATGTTAACTCTATTTTCCCAAACTTATGGGAGGTTTATGTCTATGGCTGTAGCCGCTTGGAATACATATTCCCAGCTTTTTATTCAAAAGACTTCAAGCATTTAGAATCTGTGGAGATCACCAAGGCTGGAATGTTGACACATGTCTTTGGAGAATGCCGTGCTGATGAGAATCTCAATGTTCAGGTTGATATTAATCTCCCAGCTCTGAAAAGGCTAGACCTTGATGATTTACCAAATATGGTTGGCATTTGTGCTAAAAACTATGATGTGAAGGAACTATATCTAGAGACATTAGTTGAATAAATGCCCTGCTTTGAAAACTTTGATGGACTTATTGGTTGATGGGCATAAAAGACAAGAAGATCTGTCAAGGAGAAAGGTAAACCTCCTTCCGACTTCTTTTTCCCGTTAATTTATGATTGATCGACTAAGAAAATCATTAATACTAACATATCTTAATGATACCCACAGGCATTACCTCTTGAGAAGAAAGGTAAACCACCTTCCAACACGCAAGAATTGCCCAAGTTGGAGCATATTGGTGTGGAACCTATTATTTACATGAGCTTTCGAAATCTTTCCGAGCTAACAATCCAGAGATGCAAGCATTTGAAATTTATCTTTTGCGCATCTACCTCAAGATGGCTGCAAAAACTGAAAAGGTTATGGGTATCTCAGTGTGAAGAGCTAGTGAGCATTATGGAGGATGAAGAGAATCGCAAAAATCCTATGACTCTGCATCAAGTATGTTTCCCAGAGCTACGCGTAATAACAGTGAAGCGTTGCAAAAGTTTGAAATGCTTGTTCCCTATGTCATGTGGTAAGCTTCCACGACTCTGGCATGTGGATATAGAAGATGCCCCTCAGCTTGGGCAAGTGTTTGGATGGAAGCACGGAGAGGGACAGAAGCTGGTCTTCGAGAATGTGCTTCCTAAACTAATTGCAATAAGACTAGTACAGCTGCCAAATCTTCATCCTATCTGTCAAGGGATTGATTTTCATGCTGTTAAAATCCGTCATGTGCATCCATGTCCTGCTGCTATTTCTTTACTTCAACTTATGATGGTAGCTCCAACGAACGTAAGTATTTACATACACAATTCACTACAACTACTAATGCTACAATTTGTTCTCATAATAATGTAATTGTTTTATTTTGGCAGTGGATGAATTACTATATCCAAACACTTTCGAATGAAGACTCCTATGACTACGAGGAAGATTGTGATTTCTGGGGTTTTTGCGGTTAGTATAAAACTTAATAAAATGGCTTAATTAGCTTAAAGAGATGGAAAAAAACAGGGAGATAAGAAATGATAATTTTTACACCAAGAGTAGTTAAAATAAAATTGACCAATACATGAATAAAAGCTTCCCTTGCTACTAATATTTTAGCAGAAATTCCGCACATCCACCTATTTTTCCTATTTAGGGTGTGTTTGGTTGGAGGGGAGGGGAGGGGAGCCCCTCCCTCATTTGGTTAAAAATTTTGGAGGGAAAGGAAGCCAAATGTTTCCTCCCCTCCCCTCCCTCCCCTCCCATTTTAACTCCCCTCCAACTTGGGAGTTTTTGGAGGGGAGCTAAATTTTTGGACCATTATGTCCTTATGATTTTTTTATATTCCACAACCACCTATAAAATATGTTATAATAATATTATTTTAAATAAAAAAATATTTATCTTAAGTAAAAATAAAATATAAATTAATTATAATAAAATTGATATAAATTATTATAAAAATAAAAAACATTATTTAAATAAAAATATAATATTATAAAATTAATTTTTTTATAAATATATTTTAAAGCTGAAAAAAGGCATAGCCTAAGAGAATAAAATTTCAATTTTTTTAGAGCATATAAAATTTGTTAATTTGATTATTTCAAATATATTATTATTAATTAGAATAAAAAATACTGTACCAATTTTTTAATGCACATGTTAACATGATAAGACTGAATTTTTATTAAATTATATGATTTAAGTTAAGATGTAAATTAATTTATATAATATATCAATCAAAAATATAAATTAATATGTAAGGGTAAAATAGTAAATTGATTATTACTATCCCTTCCCTGCCTTCTTGAACCGAATAAGGGATCATTAAATATTTCTCCCTCCCCTCTTTTTTAATCAAACCAAATAAGGTGAGGATGAAACCTCTCCTCCCCTCACTCCCCTACCCTCCCCTCACTCCCTACCCTCCCCTCAAACCAAACAGGTCTTTAGTGGGCTAAGATTACAATCCTTATTAATGATTTCAAGCCACTATTTTCTTTATATCTTGTTCTGAGGAATTAGAGCCAACTCTGGAGAGAGACCTAACTATAGTCAATAACAGAACAAGCTTGTGTTCTACCAAGCCCACACATCCTCTCTTACATATTATTCTTCCTTTATTCCAAATTTTAGCTTGATTTAATTCGTAAAGTTTAATGATCAGAGTTCAACTCATTTCATCTGTTCTTATATGTTTTGTGATTGTTCAGAAGGAACGGGAATCCGAGCGGGCAGAGGCATCCGAGGTTATGGAAGGAGACTCCATAGTTTTACCAAAATCGCCAGAGGTACATGGATTATGCTTTTGTTGCGAAATTATAGAGGAAGGGTTAATAACAATAACTAAAATTTTGGCAGAAATGACCAATACATGAATAAAAATTTAACTCGCTATTGATTTTGGCGGAAATTCCATACAACGTCCACCGCTTTTTCCTATTGTGTGGGTTAAGGTTACAATTTTGTTAATGAATAATTAATTTGCATGTGCATACTAAAAATAATTTTTACAAAAATATTAACTAAAAATAAAATTGAACAATACATGAATAAAATTTTCCCTCGCTACTAATATTTTAGCAGCAATTCCATACTCCACCAATTTTTCCTATTTTGCGGGCTAAGATTACAATCTTTATTAATACTTCAATTCACTGTTTTCTTTATACCTTGTTCCAAAGAATTAGAGCCAGCTCTGAAGAGAGACCTAACCACAATCGATCTTCCTTTGTTAAAAATTTTAGCACGATTTGTGAAGTTCAATTATCAGAGACTTCAACGCATTTCATCTTTTCTTATACATTTTTTATTGAACAAGCACCCATCATGCTTATTGAAGAAGACCACATAATATAGTACACAAGCAAAACCATATTTCGCCAAATTTGTCAGAGACACAAGCATTATGCATCTATTGAGTTAATAGAGAAAAAGGGATGAAAACAATAATCGCAGAGCATGAAATGCACGTGTCAAGCAATTATATCAGTAGCTAATGAAAATATAAAGGTCTTCCAGTATGTTCTGACGATTTACGCTTGAGATGTTTAGGTTTGACATTGCTAGGCTTAGCAAATTGATTCTTAACCATTTTGGACCAAATGTTTGTGTTATTCTCAACAACTTCACTATAACAAAACAATGTCATAAACTTCTTAGCAACTCATTTCTCAACAAATACTTTCACTTGTATTTTCATTTAACAATGCTCAATTATGCAGCAATGCAGAAGTGGAAAGGGTTTCATAGTATTGATATTGTTTTTAGTTTATATAGGAGTTTGCAAGAGCTTCTCATGTACCCTTTAGGAATCAAAGTTGATGTTGATAGTAAACTAATATATCTTTTTTTATTTTTCAGATCAGAGAAGAGGGATCATCACAAGAAGACATAAAAAAAGACTCAACAATACCCCAACAGAATAATGGCTCAGCAAATTTTGAAAATGTATGCATATCATACTTTTTCTATAAATAACCACACTTAAGAAATCAACAATTGATTTCTCTCTTACCTCACTGTTTTATTCATTTGCTCCAAATAAATCAATTTTTTTTTATATATTTTGTGTGCTAATTCGATTTATTATGGTTATTAACACCATGAAAACTCAGCTTATCTTCTTTTTATATCTTTTTGTTGATGTTTAGAGTGAAGAAGTATCAAAACAAATTGCTATAAGAGACTACACAACACACAAAACAAAAAGTAATTTGCCAAATTTGACAAAGGTATGTACATTATGTTATTCTATAACAAGGACTTGAACCAATAAATAGTTCTCTTTAAATTAATATGCCATATGCTTCTTAATTATTTTAACATTTTTAGTAACCCATTCATATTTTATGAGTTACATAGGATACCATTGCATCAACAAGTGGAATTGTCGAAGAAAAACTCTCAACAACTCCGTCATCTAGTTCAGACATGGTAAGGATTGTTCTTCAATTTATGCTTCCACTGATATATACATATATATACATACATACATATATATATTTCCCCGAACACATAGTCATGTGGAAGTGGAAATGCCTTATAATAATAATGATTTTGTTCTATAGATAAGAGCTGGTAAGAGCCTCTAATGCATAGCTTGGTCATCAAAGTGGACACTAACAGTAAACTTAAAACAGATTTAAGATACCAACAGATTGTAAGTTTGGATAGTTAGGTCGGTTCCTATTTCTCATATATGCCCACAATGACTACCCATCATTTAGTTCAAATAATTTAAGAGTGAATCCCGGAACAAAGACCTTCACTTATATGTTTATTGAACTACTCATTTCAATAAAATACTCCCTTCGTTCCTTATTATAAGAGACAAATAACCGAATTACGTTGTTCAAAAAAACAGTTAAAATTAGTTAAGAACAATCAATATGTAAAAAGTATAATTTTTTTTCCAAAAATACCCTCATTAATAAGGAGAGAGAGCATGAGAGAGAACAATGGTAAATTATTTAAAGAAAGAGAAGTGGGAAGGAGAGAGAGTATGAGTTGGAAACAATAAATATGGGTAAACTAGGAAATCAATACAAAAAAGTAAAGACAACTTTTAAGTGTCTCTTATATATAGGAACATGCCATAAGCATCAAATGTCTCTTATAATAAGGAACGGAGGGAGTAGTATATATACTACTCCCTAGTCCAATCCTATACATAAGTAACTTTTAATTATCTCACCAACCAAGAAGAAGTAGGTACACTATTGAATGCATCATCTTTAAAAACAATTGTCTTTCTCATGTGCAACATCTTATGCCTAGAAAATTGCAAAAGGCTAAAATTAAAAGAGAATAATAGTAACCTATAGTCTTTTTTATTATGCAAAATGGCTTATAAAAAGAGATAATTTTTTAAAGATAGTAACCTATATATAAAATTGAAGGAAGTATAAAATTTCGCAAGTAAAGAATATAAAGAGATGGCAATAAAAGTAACTTCCCTATGCTATGCAATAGATAAGGAAACAATGGAGCTAAGTGTTCAACAAGGTTGTAAACTAGATGAA